TCCTTGAGTCGACCTCCTAGCTAACAAGAGTTAGAGTAATTTGTCGAAGTGCTTCATGAATCTAGCCATAAATATTTGCAGAAGGTTCGACAAAAGAAATCTAATTGGTAAATGTAAAGTCACCATAGTCTTACCAGACCATGGGGCTGGTCTCCCATCAAAGACAGACGACTGGTGGTGGGCACCACCCCTGGAGACATTGAGAAGGAGGGTCCTTTGTGGTACCCTCAGCCATCACTTCACATTGTAAACCATCCAGCCAACTGCACTAACTGACCCCATATATCTAATTGAGGGAAATTATGATCATTATGATTATTCAATTAGCAAGACAGTAACAATATTAAAGGAACAATATTCAATGCAGCAGGGAAAAATGGTGCAAATCCATTGATCTTCAGGGCACAATTCTACACTGACTTCAGGTAGTATTTCTTTGCACAGGGCAAATCCACAGCTGGAATGTGTTGCTATAAAATTGGTAGCAGCCAAGACAGCGAGCACAGTTTTGAAGCAGCTCAGTGCTGTCATGAACATATGTTTGGATAGATATTCTTGAAGATTGAGATCAAATAGGTCAAAAAGTTTTCTTCACCTACTCTCTTCGTAATTTGCAAAACGACTCGAGTCCAGTTTCTGGAGGATGTCAGACAGTGCTTGAAATGGATTGCATCACTTCTCAACTCTGTTTATAATAGAAGTAATGACTTGACTCCAAATTCCTACTGCAAAAGCTGTTATCCACTTCAGGATAGAGAAATTGGTGTTTTCCACTCTCAGCTCATTTTCTCAATAATCTTAATGATTGACTGTCCCAGTGGAGTAGAACATATATCCATTTCAGAAGAGAAGGCTCATAATAGTGACAATCTTCACAGACTGAAACTGATTGTGTATCCTTTCTCTCTTGGATGAGTATTTATTCTTCCAGGAGAAAGAAAAATATTATGGAAATTAAAGTAGAACAGACTGAAACTAACTTAAACTACCCATACCCTTACCACTGGCCATCAACGATATTGTATGTCAGGCTTTAAATCTTAACTGTCCCATAGTTGCATTTGAAGGACTTTGACAGTTGTTAGACGGCTCCCCACTCCAATAGAGCAGGATTGTAAACTGCTAATTTCATTGGTTAATAAGTAGAAGTGTAAGTGAACATAGTTCAGGTCTATCTGCCACAATCTAAGCTATAGGAATGCTACAAGTAAAAGTATTTTAATAATATTCCCTCACTTGTGTGTTCTACTTGCAAGTTAGTTCCTCTAAAATGCATCCCTATGTCAGGAAGCCTCTCAAAATAGAGTTATTTGTACAAGTAATAGTGATTGTCCAAGATTTATGTTGGGCTAATTATACACAGCTCCTGTATTTATTTTAAATTGGATTTAACCTTTTAAATACATGTAGCTAGCTTACACAGCAAAGTCTTTGCTGGTTCCTACTCTGATACTGGATTGCAAATGAAACCAGAGCTATTGGGCCCAAGACCTTATTACAGCCTTAGTCCAAACATCGACCTGAAAAGAACTAAATTCAAAAGGAGAGATTTGAGTGACTGCCATTGATTTCAAGGCACAAGGCACAAGAGCAAATTCAAAGTCAATGGGAATCAGGGAAAAATTATCCCCTCATTGCAATCATACCTAGCACAAAGGAAGGTTGTGGTGGTTATTGGCAGTCAATCAGAATAGTATAGTCGGCCCATCTTCAGCTGCTTCATCAAAGATATTCCCTCCATCATAACATCGGAGATTGGGATGATCGCTGATGGTTGCACAATGTTCAGTACCATTCACAATTTCTCAGATGCTGAAATAGTCCATGGTCATATTTGACATGACCTGTACAATATCCAGGCTTGGGTTGATAAGCGGGAAGTAACATTGGCACCACACAATGCCATCTTCAAAACAAAGAATCCAAACATTGCCCCTTAGCATTCAATGGCCATACCATCACTGAATACCTTGCTATCAATAACTCAGTGACTTTCATTGACTACGAACTGAACTGGACTAGCCATATAAATACTGTGGCTACAAGAGCACATCAGAGGCTCAGAATTCTGCTGAAAGTAACTCACCTCCCAATACCTGTTCACAATCAACAAACCCCTCTATGTTACTCACCATCCTACATCGCCATTCTTCTAATGTCAGTCAAAATCATGGAAGTCCCTTCCAAACAGCACGATGGTTGCACCCACTGTAGCTGTTCAGGAAGATGGCTTACCACCAGCTTCTCAACAGCAATTCGGGAACAAATTTCTGGTTTTGCCAGAAACAGTCATATTGCATCAATAAACAAAACAAAATGCTACAGCCTACCTCCCCATTCAATTTGGTATGTTAGTTGAGAGCTTTTCTTGACAGAATGTGAAATCCCTTTGAGATTCTCCCCAGGAATACTCATGAAAACTATGATTCACAGAGAATCCTAGGTATTTTCCTTTAACTCAAGTTTAGTGAGACTCTGAGTGAGCCTCGTGGACTGTTGAGACTTGGTGGCCTGCTCCCCTGAGCTCAACTTGGCAAAAATGGCCAGCCCTAGCAAAATGACACACCATTTGCTGCAGGGGTTTTTTTGCCCCTTTGCAGGACCTCACCGAGACCTAAAAATTCAGCCCAATGCTGGACGGTGAGTAAAGGAATCAGAAGTGAGGGGGGAAAGAAAGTAACAATGGACTGTAGGTATGCTGTCTGTCCATCAGCTGCACAACTAAATTAATGACTGAAATAGGGAAAGGAAAGCAATGAGGGAACAAAGAAATGGTGTAAAGGAGAGGGCATATTTTTCTTGCTAAGTCATATAATCCTCCTATATACACACAAAATAGGTACAATTATACCCTGTATATAAATTGTACAGACTATTTGTGAAAGGATCAAGAGGGAAAAAGGGGGACAAATTTAAAGTAATTGGCAAAAGAAGCAAAAGCTCCTTCATAGTGAGAAGGAGCCTGAGAATGTGGCAAAGGTAGGTTCAGTTGATGCATTCAAAAGGTAGGCAGATTTATTTGAAAAGAACAACATGTATGGTTACAGGGAGAAGGCAGGAGAATGGTACAAGGTGAACTGCTCTTTTGCAAAGCTGATGCAGACATGATGGGCCGAATAACAATTCTGCAATTCTTAGCTATTTATATATGACCATATTATTCTCTGGATTTTAGATTATAATAAATCATGAACTATGATTAATAAAAGAGAAATACTGTGGAAACTGGAAATCTGATACAAAAACAGAAATTGCTAGAAAAACTCAGCAGATTTGGCAGCATCTGTGGAGAGAGAAACAGAGTTAAACTTTCGAGTCAGGTATGACTCTTCAGAATTACAGAACATCACCTATGATGGTTTAGCTATGTTATAGAGTTCTGTGTTCCTCAGCAGAGATGGCCTGGCAAGAGGGACTTGATTGCCGTACTATAAGTTAAGCATAAAAACCAAAGAACTGCTGGTGTTGGAAATCTGAAACAAAAACAGAAATTGCTGGAGAAACTCAGTAGGTCTGGCAGCATCTATGGAGACAACGCCAAATTACAATTTCGCATTCAGTGACTGTGTTCTGAAGAAGGGTCACTGAACTCAAAACCTTAATTGAACTGAGTTTCTCCAACAATTTGGTTTTTGTGTTGTATGTTAACGATGTGCTGTGGGACTGGGATCTTACCCAGGCCAGCCGAATAATACTGGCGGATTCCCTCCTCTAAATTGTATGAACAAAACGTTTGGGTTTACACATTAATCCAGAAGCTTTCCTTGGCTTTTCTGTGTTCTGGCTCCAGCCTGGTCAAATTTCTTGAAGTTAAAGCTGGAGGGTTTGAGGTGTAAGGAGAGCTTGGATAGGCTGGGACTATTTTCCCTGGAGTGTAGGAGGCTGAAAGGTGACGTTATAGAGGTCAAAAAAATCATGAGGGGCACAGATAAGTGAATAGCCACTGTCTTTTCCCCATGGAGGGGAGTCTAAAACTAGAGGGCACAGGTTTAAGGTGAGAGCGAAATGATTTAAAACCAACCTGACAGGCAACTTTTTCACACAAAGGGTAGAACCAGCTGCCAGAGGAAGTCGTTGATGTGGGTACAGTTAAAATATTTAAAAGGCATTTGGACTGGTACATGGATAGGAAAGATTTAGATAGATATGGGTCAAGTTAAGGCAAATGGGACCAATTCAGTTTAGGAGACCAGGGCAGCACGGACGAGTTGGGCCGAAGGGTCTGTTTCGGTGCTGTACGACTGTATAAAATGAATTTTACAGCTCATCATGGGAGGTTTGAAAGTTCCATCACCCAACAAGCGGTGTGCCAACCCCAACATGCAGTCTCCACAGACAAACATGGACAAGTCCTTCCTGCGGAAGTAGCTGTGGGTTCAGGCTTCTCTCGGTAATCAGCCCCAGCGACGAGGGAACTGGGGTGCGGGAGGCTGAGGAAAATCACCCAGCCGTTTCTTCGCGAAGTCGTAAACGTGCACCTCGCAACTTTCACCAGTTGAGCTTGAGAAAGCGGCCAGTATTTGCAGCGCGGAATCTGTGGCGGCGTGAACAGACTGTGAATGGGGAGGTTTTCCCCGCAGTCCCCAAAGCCAAAAGAAAACCCAATCTGACAGCAATAAACAGCAGGCAGTAACCTTTATTGGGTACCATGGGTGCTGGCACACAGGGGTTAACCAGAGCTGGGCGCTGCAAAGCATTGAACTGCCAGAAATACGCACATATATATATATATATGTTCGGTGTTGTTAGTAATTAGATGCATTCTATCGTACTGCAGCTTCAGAAAACAAGTAGAAAGCCATTATTCACCAGCAAGTTTATTTATGGCTGACCCCTTAAATCATTGCATCGTAGATGCACTGATTGGACACAGCATGAGAGGACGGGCGCTCTGTTTCAGTTCTGGCAGGGAGAGGAGGAGGGGGGGTGGGGGCATGTGTGCGTGTGGAAGCTCGTAGCCTGCTCTCTCAGTGAAACCGACAGCGCTGAGACCCAGAGGGAGAGAGAGCCGCCTTCAGCATCCAGCACCCGCCCCCCACTCCCTCCCCGCCCCCGTGCAGGGCTTGTTCAGGGCACAGAGGGCACCGCTGGCAATGAGGGGCATTGTGTCCAGGCTCCTGGGGAAGTACTCTCTCCCCAGCTGCTAAAGGTAAGGTCTGTGTGGTGGCGCCCAGGCCATGTGTACGCTTGTCAGTGAGACAAGGCAAGGATCAGCCGGTGCTAGGAGCCCGGCTCCGTGCACACAGCACCAGCCCTGCTCTCTCTTTCTGTCCTTCTGCCTCTGTCTGCATCGGCCGTGAGTATGTGAGTGTGCACCCTTCACGCTGCAGTCAGGGATCTGCGAAGTTTAATTTTCTGTGACACGCATTGTTTCTGTTTCTGAAAGTAAGCGTTTGCAAATCTTGCTCACAGGCGTACTTTGCAGATGGTGCCTCTGAGACAAGTCTGGAGTGTGCTCGCTCGCTGAATGGGAGCTGCAAGTTGGGAGACTTTTCACCGTTTCGCAAACTTTTCTGTGTGTGTGTGTTTGTGACCTCCCTCTCCTGTGTCTCTTTGTGTGGGATTGACGTCCCCGAACCGTGTGAGAAGTGTGAGGGGAGATTCTCACCAGCAAACCTACCGCCCTGTGCAGGCTGGCAGGAGAGTTTACATTTGTAAAAAAAACTGCCTCTTCTTTAAAACAAAACAAAACAAAATCTTTTTTTTCTTCCCGCACCCTCCAACCTCGCAGGCGATACGGGGTGTAGTGTAATTTCTACATCAGCTGCCTCTCTGTCTAATTGTCTCGGGAATGTCTCACATGTTCTGTGCCATCAACCTGATTCCTCCTCTTGTGTGTGTGTGTGAGAGAGAGAGATTCAGAAACTAGCTGTTAGTTTTACCCAGTAAGGCAGGGACGCGCAAAGGGCTGCTTGTCCTGATTGGATTCTTTAAGGGAAACAATTGAATTATTTTGAACGGTGTTTTGGGTCACTGGGTTGGGAGGTTGGTGGTAGTGTACACATGTGATGCTTCTATTTCCTTTTGACCAGCCCCTTGAAACTATGGGAAGCGACAATAACAAAACGACCACAGTAACTCCCCTCCTCACCCTGTTACTGATTCATTCTCTGAAGGATGGTTTGTGCATCTGCATATATATTTGTTTTTACAAAAAGAGAAACTACCTCTGGTTTATGGGAGTTGCAGCTCCTGGGCAGATGTTCAGCCGAAGTTTGCAAATACAAATCGGTACCTGGGCAGATTCGGAACTGTTGCGTGTGGCCCCTTTCGATCGCGGTTCCGTCGCTCACTGTGTGGGAGAGTCGGGGCTCCAGCAGCAATTTGTTTCCACACACATGGAATAATGTGCTTCCACACACACAGGGAGTAGGGCAGCTCACCAGAGAGAGGGACAGCAGACCACATGCACAGCAGAACACCTTCCCCCCCCCCCCCCCAACCCCCCCTCCTCTCTCTCTCTCTCTGCCTGTGGAAATGTGGCTCAACCACATTGTTGAATTTGTTAGGGATGCATTGCTAACAACGGCCGGCATTGGTTGTGATGGGATTGTGACGGCGGGATAGACAGTCTCACGTTTAGCGCCGTGCCCCGTCCAAGTCAGTATGTGGACCCCTTACTGCTTTGCTTCAGGTGGAGACATAATGCCATCCCCTACTCAGAGAGCCTCGGCTGCCTTCTCCATTCTTCAGCGTCTGACAAACCCTTTGAAATCTCGGGGATTCTTTTTGTTTCGTTTCCTTTACCGTCTCTCGCTTATTCTACGCGAAGGCTGCAGTTTTAATTCGAATTCCTTGAGTTAAACGTGCTCATTTTCCCCCCAGGACTCCAAGCTTACTCACAAAGTACATACTCCACTATTTGAGTGTAATGACCAGCTTCCCATCTCATCCTTACTTTCTGAGGCAGGCATAACAACTCACAACTAATATTCGAGTTTCAGCGTAAGGCAGAAATTCAGTCCCAACACTCAAATCGTGCTTTTAACACGTCCGTATTTGAGCAGGGCCCTGGGTTCGCTGTGCAGGGTGTAAACTTTTCTTCCTCACGCATCTATAAAATAGTCGTCCGACAGGTCAATGAAATGAGCCAGACTTCCAGAGGATGTGGTGGGAGAGAGAGTGGTGAGTTGGCTGAAAGGTTAGCTGTGAGGTGGGGGCTTCAAAATTTTGGGCCAGCGAGGAGACGTTTGGCTTTCTTGTCGTCAGGGATGGGGGTCAATGCAGGGGCGAGATTTCCAGTAAACTGGGCCAGGCTTGCCGAAACTGATCAAAAATAACAGGTAGCTGGCAATCCAGAGAATTGATTTCATTTACCGCCCTTTATAACAGCTTTCAACCCTGCAACAATCTGCCACCTTGTTTCTCTTGACTGAAAAGGACCCCCCCGCCCCAGGCTGGTTGTGATAGTGCTGGTCATTTTTAAAACGCCTTGATAAGATTCCAACCGTAAACAAAAATAAAGCAATACAAAAGGCAAAACAAAGTGAAAGTTCGGAAGTTTGGAATCCAGAGACGTGTTAGTGGATAAAAAGGGATAAATGCTAAGATGGAGTACACGATAGATACAGGGTGCCAGACAGCATCTGGGAACAATGACATAAGATGGAATTTTGTGTTTCTTAAAGTCATCGCAAGATATCTTTCGCTGGATGAGGAGAACGGTAAAAAAAAAAGCGGTTAAAGTTCTGAATACAGATTCCTTGTTTAAAAAGCCTCAAAGCACCCTGATATTTTAAACGAGATAAGGTGTCGTGATGTCATGAAGTACAGTCAATGTGCATCTAAATCTCTTAATTAATTTAGGCAAAAGAAAGTAAGCTGGGAAAAGGAGCACCTTTTTGGTTTAGGTTCTAGTCCACTTTGGAAGAAAATGACTGAAGGATTTTGTCGTTTTCCAGGCGTTTTGATGTGTAAATATTGTGCACTGCAGACTTTCTGATGGCGAGTTTTTATTTTTCTAGGTTTTGGTGCTTTTTGTAGTCATATCCTGGTGGTAATAAATTTAAGTGTAATCTGAGTTTTCTGTTTTTTATTCGAAATCAGGATAAAGTTGCAGTTTCTGAAGTACATTTGACAATGTTGCTGCTTGAGATGAATTGGGGCAATGCAGCAAGAAACAGCTCACCTCATACTGCACCAGACAACTCTGTCAACACCAGACTGCAGGGGAAGTGTGAGATGCAAAGTTTTGTCTGTGATAAAGTTGACGTTGTTGTTATGTCCAAAAAAGAATTTGCAGCGATGTTTAGGGTATTTTAAATGTTTACTCACATTGCAGACTATGAACTGTTGTAAATTGATTAGATCTATTTTACATGAGCATAATAATTCAGGAATTAATTTTAAGTTGAAGGTGTTCCTCTGCAATACCATAGGGACAGATTTTCTATCACATTCATTGGAGTGGGATGGTGGTGAGTCATTTTGGGTGAAAATTACCCTTTTAACATGAGCGGGTAAGGCAAAATTCAGAAGGCGTTGAGTAAAGATTTAGATGTGATAGTCTGAAGTCATAAGAACAGACAGCAAGAGTAAGTCAATCATTCCACAAAACTCTATATATCTTCCAATTGCATGTCTTGACAGCGAGGTATCCTGCAGAGAAGGTAGGAGGGAGAGGGGTGCCTCTGTAAGTGTTAGTTTCTATCATAGTATCACAGTTTCGCTGGTGAATGAAGCCAGAAGTCTCGAGTTAATAATGTTTGCTGGCAGCCTGTGAGCCGATGGGGTCTGAATTTTACTAATCCTCGAGGATTCTGAATTGTTGTGGGTAATGGTGAGTAGTGAGTCAAGATTGTCTCCTGACTGAAATGTGGACAAAGTGAAGGGCAAGAGAGCCAATCTGTTTGTCCTCAATTACCCTATCGACTGTGCTGCTGCTGCTGTCTTTTGTGTTTCATGGAATATGGTGATATGCCAACGTTTCTTTTGTAGTGTGTACGTTAATGCGAGGAGAATAAAAATAAATTTTTCTGTGTTTCGTGAAATCTTTGGCAAAAATAATTGGATGTACAAGTATCCTTTTTATTGTATAAATGGAGTGAAATATAGAAGTATGCATTGCAGCTGAGGTAAGTTACTTTGATTTAAGGGTTATACTAATCGCACATTTTTACTTAGTAGATTTTGACATCACTACATTATTTAGCGGGGACATGTTATGTTAAATGTTATGCTACCAAGCAGTACAGATCTTGAAGATCATTGGGCTTCGTATTTTTTCAATTCCAAGTCCAATGATTGCAATAAGCATAAGTGTAGAATACTTCATTGAGTTTCAATTGGCCAAACTATGGTGGGAGAGAAATTCTTCAAAAAAAGCCTTGTTCCTGTTGGCTAGCCAGTGAGCTGTTTGTGTTTGTGGGCAGTGGGCAAAGGCAGGATCGGGCTCCGCTGTGTTGCCCCTTATTGTCTATTAATTTGCCAGCACTCACTGCCCACTCTCAAGCACAGCTACTCGGCAAAAGTGCAAGCAGCATGCTGCGTCAGCAGACCCATATGTTAACAGGAGTAGTGATTGACAATAAGATTTCTATCAATGTATATGTAAAATCTAAATTTCAGGCATATGATAACAAACGGGTAAAATATAAAACAAAGCTTCCTTACTGGTCTATGAAAACTGTAATGTATACCCCAATTAAAATGCAGACAACAATAAAAACACAGCATGAGACAAGGTATGGTGATATTTTGGAAGGAATTTTCATGCTAACCCAATATATGAAACATTAACAGTAAATTTTTGAGTTAATTTCTGACTTGAAGAAGGAATAAAACTGGAGGAATAAAATTGGTCAGTTTTTCAGTGTGAAATTTTGGTATGTGGCTTTTCAGGTAGACTAGTAATTGATCCATGCACAAAGGAGTACTGCAGCTGTAAAGTCTCTCTCCATTGCACAGTGAGCCAAGAGAATAGAAATTTCAATTAAAAGGTGAAAGGTTTGCCCATCATTACTGACATAATACGCAGTAAGATTGTGCACTGGCTTCTTACCTCTTGGAGTAATGGAATTTCTTTGCATCTCACAGTGCCTTCAAATCACTTTATACTTTATTATTGCAACATGAAAATAAGTGCTACTGTTGCATTGAGGGAAAATACTTTAACAGTTCTTTCCTCATGATATGTTAGATTCGGAAAGA